TATATATATATATAACTTCAAACAAGAAAAAGTTTGAAAGACCATAAAAATGTAGAGTTCAGCAGATGCAGCCATCACATCATAAAAAAACACACCAGTACAGTGCTGCCCCATTCACAAGGATACTCCTCTTAAGGTAATTCTATCCATCTCCTAGTTTACTGATACATCAGAAATCAATATTATCCAAGTAATTGAAATAATTATAAAGTGACAAGTTATTTTTTGAATCACAGTTTAAAAAATGGCCATTAGATGCTCTCATTATTTACTACCTGTCCTTTCATTTGTAAAAGATTGGAACAGCATACACTTCAATAATACTTTCTAATAACAAGTCATTACTCCAATATTTAAGATAGGCCTTATACTAATTATCATACCTCATGAGGGGTGAAAGCAAAGAAGAATACATATCAATCACACTAAATTACTATATTCAGTGCTAACAAGGCCTTTCACCCAGTGCCAGGACTCAACAGAGAGGCTGAGATATCATGCAATAATGGTCAAGATACTATTTATATCACCAACTGCTTAAACAACAACTGTATTGGTGTGAACTAAATTAAGGTGGTGGATTGACATTTTCATCAATTTTACTAAAGTCTTTACACAATATATATGCAACAAAATCATTTAATGTTTTGGGAAAACACACAAGTATAGTATTAAGTTAAAAAATAAAAAATAACCACAATTAACCCGTTGACTGCTGATTTGTTGTATAGGGTACGGTCTGCCTCTTGCAGTTGAATGCGAGTGTGCTGTATATAGTGTATGGCTCGCAAAAATTCCACGAGCGTTTAGAGCAGCCACAGTCAAGGGGTTAAAAACGTTTGAACTGAAAGAATTATTAATGACAACTATTCAAAATCCAGATTTTTTAAACTTAAAAGATAGACCTAGTATTATGCACCACAATAAATTATAAACTATGTAAAACTCCAACTTAACTAATGACATAGTTTTTTAATTTAATTAACTTGTTTGTTTGTTTAAAGTTAAGCACAAAGCTACACAATGGGCTATCTATGCTCTGCCCACCACGGGTATCGAAACCCAGTTCCTAGCATTGTAAGTCTGCAGACATACTGCTATGCCACTGGGGGGCATTAATTTAATTAAGAAAGTATCCACAATTTTAAAGGTGCTAACTGGAGATGTGCCAATTAATCAGTAATTAGTTTGTTATTTCTATAACAAATAAACCAGATGTGGTCAACATTTATTTATAGCTAGTTAAGTATCAATAACAACAAAATAAAAGGTTTTGAGCAATTTCCATAATGTAGAGCATTTAATACAGAAAAAGAGAGAAACATATAGGGTAGAAACAATTTACTCCTTGGAACCATCTGGTACACAACTTACCTTGTATCTAAGAATCTGTGGTTCCAAAGTTTCTAAGGGTCTTCCATTTACTTTAATGAGGCCTTTGCCACGTTTACAATATGCAACAGCTGTAGCTGTTTTCTGAAAACACATACACAGTAATTAAAAATGCTGCTAAAAACAGAGATTTGAAGTTCTTAATATCTTGTAAATAACACATAGAAAGTTTACAAAAGTATTTATTCCCATATTTATCTTTTCCTTTAATAATTAAGGAAATAAAACCCTCTTCATTTTTCAGACAAGTAGATTATATCTGTACTACAAATATAAGCTTATAAATCAATCTTATGAACTACAGTTCCTCATCAAAATTATGACAGTAACCACTTTATAAGCATGGATTAATGCTTGTAATTTTTGCATTTGAGACAAAATAACTTAACAAGCTACAATTAACTACGTAAACTCATTTGATTGTTATTAAAATTTTCTGACACACACAACATCGTGAATCATTTGTACACCTACCTAAAACTGACAAAAAAAAAATTGAAAGGTCATGTTTCATAAAATTGCATATTTCCTTCTTGTAAAATGTGTAATTTTCCAATTTTGTCATCTTTTGCTGATTGTCTACTTTGATTTATAAACTGGCCAATGATCACAGAAGCTTAACTCTTATCAGTAGAATGTGAGATTTTAGGGTTTGTACCCCATCATATGCCTTAAAATAGGGAATCCAGGAGAATTATAGTTCCCAACCACAGATGTGTGTGAATATGAAGCCACAGTTGAGAATATATAAATCTCCCATAAACAAAATACTAATTATTGTACACCAAACAACAAATGAAAAACATCCACAGCAATATTACATGCATCGTTCAAACTGGCTTGACCAATGTGGATCAGTGATATATCAAACAATAGCTCTCTTCATGCTCTACATCAATCTGGGCAATTTAATTAAATCCAGAAGCATTTCCTCTTTGAAAACACACAAACATTTATAATTCTTTTTTAGCCACTGAATTTGTAGAAACAAAGTCATACAATAAACTGTGTGGTGCATCTAACCTATATAAAAGCCAATGTGTGTCACGTCATGCTTAATTTCTCAAAATAAAAGGAGTCATAAAAGCCAAAATGAGTATATCCAGACAGAATAGTTTTATTTCTGTCTGGCCATTATGATTTTAGTGACAGGGATACAAGGAGTCCGTAATGGGGGTGGTGGTGCCATGAAATCTTATTAGTGTAGCGAGTGTTGGTATAATAAGTTTAAAGTAAGGCGTTATGTGGGATCAACTAGCATAGAGCCAAGTGCATAAAATTTAACATGATAGTAATAATATCGATTCAATTTGAAATTTAACTCTTTCTGAATTAAGCTATCTCTCCTTTACTTTCATATTCATAGGTAAGTTCATTCTTCATTTGTAGCACTTAACAATTTTCATTTCATTTATCCACATAATATGAATCCATACGTAAGAGTTTGAAACTGATGGATTTTTATTACGACTACATTTTATCTTGCCTTGACACAGGTTTCACGCAGTCTCACTCTCAGGTTACTAGGTAAAGCGATAATTTGATATCAATCACCGACAATTTGTTAGCATTGTTCCAATGTAAAGGTCGCGTGATGCAAAACTTAGCCAAAAGGTCAATTTACTGGTACGATTTTTAACTGTTTTCTCATTCATTATTAATTACATAATTGAACTTGCAGTGTAAATCTACAAATTTTTGACTGTGAAATCCAATGATGTGTGAATTGTTTTCAAATTTTTATTTTCATTATTTAAAAATTACTGAAACAGTGAAAGTGAAACCCCGTAGTAGTAGTAGTACTGAGCTAATTTACGTTATAACTATTAGCAATAGTATAAAGTCAGTAATTAGATGGATTAACATTTTAGCTTGTCTAAATTTAGGGACGTCTTATTATATTATTATTAATAATTAGTTTCTTGCCCTCTCGTGATCTTATCGCTCTTAAGCCTAACGTTAGGCTAAATCATTTGTTTCCTACCTTGCGCCCAAACACTTGCACAGACGGGACAGACTCTTTTTGAACTCTGTAAAAGAAGGAGAAATATGTATGTATACATTTTTTGCATTAGAAACAGATATTGACTACAACAGTCAAAAACTTGTTCGAAATCATAAAACTTTATTATAAAAATACCACTCACGAGGACATCATATTTACAACTTCGGATAAAATAATAAAAAGGAACGGTGTATTCGAGGTTTCTAACAGTGATGTGAGGGGGTAAGGTACTTAGGTGTCGTTTTTCGTAAATAATCTCGAAACAATTTTCAGAATTTTCACGATTAATATTTAATATGCAACAAGCAATAAAGATTAAGTTACTCCAAACTGGCCGAAAATATTTTTAACAGCGGGGGTACCAACTGATGAAATAATTCATTTTAATCGTTATAATTAATACAATTTTGAACATTATATTTAATTATTTATGCTTATTACTAAGTGTGTATTTCATATTTCTGATATACATCTATTTGATCAGAATATAATATTAATTCATTATTTTACACGAATCTGCAGATAATTGCGCATTTGTTCTGCAAACCAAATAGATTCTGTGATTGAAGACTGTCGCAAGTATTATATATGCAAAGATTAAGAACGTGACCATAGCACCAGATATATATGTGTATTATCCTTCATAAAATAACCTATTTGCACTTTTAAATAAAAATATTCACTTCTTATGTTAAATGCTTCATCGAATGACTTGACAACAAATATCTAGATATTTAACATCTTGTTCATAAAAACAGTTTTTTAGAAGCTCGTCCAATCCATTACCAGAAGCGTATTTTATAGTAAGAATAACAAACAACCTTTCTTTGATTTATCCACTATAGACATATCATAAAATAAGATTACCCAGAAAATCCAATATCCTGGATGCTCTACATCTGTATGCTGAAGTGTTGAACGCTTAATTTCTTACTGCTTTCAGAATTGCATCAGTCACTTTGTTCACAGTATATTTTGAAACTGGGTTAACAAGCTTCCTCTTTCATGGGCTAATGCCTTAGTTTTGCCAGATGCGTTTATAAACTCCTTTCTTTATTTGGTCTTAGTGATTAATATTTGAAGGTGTTGTCTTAAAACAACATCGTGTAGGACAAAAGACTTATAATTTCAAAAAAGTTACCACGATTTATTGTTTGGTCTTACAAACGGTCTATTGTTTGATTTAACAAGCTTTCTCTGTACGGAAGGTTCTGGCGCTGTAATAGTTAACAATATCGAAAACTCTATAAGACATGCACATGATATCATTTCACGGTGAGTTAAAGGCTCGATTGTATCATTAGTAATAGCTCCCATGTCGCTTTCGACAGAAGCATTGTGGCTGATGCTATTTTCAAGTTTCGCAACAGTTTTATGAATGTGTCTAAAGTTTGACTGTTCTTTATAAATTTGCACTCTTGAGAGGCACATACGATGAATATGCTACAGGACATTCTTTCTCTGGAGAGATTGGACAGAGAGAGAGAGAGTTGTTTTTGTAGTATAAATTGCCGATGTTCACATTTAATTCTGCACCTTCTGTTGCTGCCTTATAGAAGGTTTTCGAGAAAAAAAAGGCATCTTTTAATCAAGAATGACATCAGAGATGAGTTGGAACAAAAATGTCGACTCTTTATTGGGTTCGATGACATGATGTTTCTAGCATGTACTCTATTGCGCTAATCTTATGATGGCGTTTTTGCTGTTAGTTCGGACATGACCACAAAAAACGTTATATTTAAGTGGATAAATTAGATATCATAATTTCAGACTCTGTACTTCTAACTAACAGCTACATGAAAGATACGGGAATTTTATGAGTAATGATAACTCGGCACCATCTACTATTCTATGATATTGAATGTCACTGTTGTGTTGGCTGGTTGGTTTCGCAGTAAATGATAACTTCCTTTGTTTTGGATTTGCGGGTGGTGCTTTCAGTTCGTTGTTTAACCTTTTCACTTTTCACAATTCACTTTATTATAAACATAATGTATCTACATATTAAATACTGTTATTTAGTTTAAAATTTCTGAGCATTCAAATTATAAACATTGTGTTGGGTTTATTGGTTGTAAGATCTTTAAACGCCAAAATAATGTTTAGGGTCTATATCATTTAAGTTGTGAACGTCGGTGTTTAGTTTTGCTCTACTTGTATATTGTCAATATATTTTGAAAGCAATTTTATTCAATCCTGTAAAACATGAATTTCAAGGAAGCAAGTAAACAAATGTCATAATCTTGTTATGTTTCATTAACATTGTATAAAAAAATAACAGTTTGTTGAAAACTATGAAATTTTTCTCCTTTATTTGCATATTTGATAAAAAAGAAATAAATCTCACAAATGCTGTTTTACAATAGACGTTAGTGTCCACGAAGCATTTCATCAAAAAAGAAACCAATAAAAATGTTTTAGTATTACTTACACTAAATATTACGATTTCACTATAGACAAGTATTCAAGCATATTCTAATAATGAGAAACCTAATTCTGAAAACAATAAAAATTAGTTGTTTTTTCAGTCAAGTATCATGTTCCATCAACACTATTTAAAAATCACAGGTGTGTTCGTTTATCTGTTTTAGCGCTAAGCTACTCAATAGGATCTCTGCGCTTTGTCCACCACTGATAACCGATACCTCGAATTTTCACCGTTGAAACATTGGTGGACACCACATAACTAAGGCTACTGTTACATTATAAATTAAGCCTAATATGGCATACACATGTCTAAATTCCAACAGTTACACAATCTACTCCACCCCTAAATTATCCTATTTAGTTTGGGTTTCTTTGCAATGCTAAAGACTGAAACTTCAAAATGAATGTATTGTTTAGGAGGATTCTATTGGACTATTTGGTAAAAATGTTGTCAACTCTAGTCCACGTAATGATAACGAATTAATTTACTTCTTCAGTAACGTTTGCTGTAGGGTTAAGTTCACTTTGATTCAAGTTGTAAGCTGTAAGTTGTAATAAAAGTAGTAAGTTTATAATCAACGTTTCTATATAAACTGCGATACTAATGTATGTCTAACTCAAAAATACAAAACTTCACTTATAGAATTTTATCGCTAATCGATCAAGTAACTGAATATACATGATAACTCTCACTACTAATACTGAACTAAAAATTAATTGAATATTTAATACCCATTACTCATTAACCACTCATTGAATGACTGTTTCACTGGATCTTGTATATGTTTCATACTCGCCTTACACTCTTTACACGAATTTTCCAAATCATAACATCATACGTCTTTTAACAAACATATATCTAAATTAACATATTAAAAATATAGTTTACCGCACTTTCGCCTCGTGGATTGTGAAATTCTTTGAACAAACGTAAAACACACACACACACACACAAAACAGTCTGCTAAACCATCCATTTACAAAGTATTTCTAATAGTTTACTTTTCTGAGGTCTATGATGTACAGATGGGATGGCCGCCTGTCCCTTATCATCATTTGCTGTACTGTCACTGGGGGAGTTCTTATTAGGTAGATGGTCGAGTGAATCCATTGGTGACTCTATCGTTGATGATCCTTCGTAAGTGATCTCAACAGGAACCATGGGCTCATCAACAGGTCGACATTTTGCAAGTAATTTCCTCCCTGAAATAACCCAATTGGCTCTTCACTCAATGAAAGAGTACCAAAGACAATGATGGTGGCTTGGACTGCTGTCCCTTTGAATTATGTAAACCACTTCATTAATTATTTTCAGTACAACACATGTCCCTTCCCAACACTTGCTTAATTTTGAAGTTACTCTTTTTTGTGGGGAGGATTGTACAGACATACCATGACACCTCAATGGAATGCAGTTTTATCAGCATTAACATAATAACAACTTTTAATTTTATCGCTAGCGGATTTAAGTCTTTCGCGGATAAAGTTATGTATGTCATCAATAGTGTTCCTTAGTTTTTCTCTGAATATTCTGTGTAAGACTCTGCAGAGTAACTATCCTCTGGGTGTGAGTACAGAAAGTCAAGTGGCACTTTAAATTATTTCTTAAATATCAGTGACGGCGGTTTGTTGCCTTTTCTGATGTTCATCAATATAAATGGCTAATTTGTTTAAAATGTATGGTTTCATTTCTCCGCCATACTATTAGAAAATTATTGTTCTGGTATTTTTGAATCGGAGGATATATTTCACAAACAAGACTCATTCAGTTTCATCCCTGATCTGAGAGAAGTTTCATAGGAACCCCAAATCTTGAAATGAGTTATTTGATAAATCAGATTGCTAGAGTTTCTACGACAGGAGTAGTGGTAAATTCTTACTTCTTCTTGTTAAATGCTTTTTCACAATCTGCAGTCCAACAAATCCTGTTTGGTTTTTCAAGTAATTTGTGTAGAGGATAAGCTATGTTAGAGAATGATTTTACAAAATGATGATATTAAGGGCATGTTTCAAGAAATCCTCTTACTTCAAACAGGTTTTCTGGTGTTGGCTAATTCTACATAGATTAAAGTTAGATGGGTCCTTAGACACTCCACACCTGCTGACTATGTGTCGGAGAAAATTAACCTATTGATGAAACTCTTTGTACTTCTTGAAATTTAAGTTAAGGTTCTCTTTCGTCAACCAATCCAGAACTTTAATTAGCCCATCATAAACATTATGAAAGATCTTCTCATTGTGATTATATCATCCAAATAGAAGAGTACGAGTTTCAGGATAGTTCAGAGATAGTAAACTCCATTATTCATTGAAATGTGGCAGGTGAATTACATAATTCAAGTGATAAAATAACAAATTGTTACAATTCATTCCCGGTGTTATATTTATATTGTACTCGTCTTATACTAATTTTTTTACATTTTCCAGATCATAGCGTCATGCGCTTTAGAGTAAATAAACATATACATTGTATCGAAATAAAAATTACAGCTTACAGCGGTTTTTTGAAAGAAGTTAGATTTTTTGACAAGTTGCATCATGAACGTACGTGGGGGAGAGAGGGGGGGTTGGCTAAGCCCCCTATTTTTGTGATATGAAAATAATATGCTTATATAGTTATAGTGCAGCTGCTTATGGTATATAATGTTTTCTACATAGTCTACTTTATTCTGATAAAGCATTAGCATTTATTTCGGCTTGAAAAAGTCACATGCAATAGCTTCTGTTGACACTTTGTAATTGGAAGCCGAAGTCGTATTGCTACTGTCAGGTTTTGTAGGCCAGATTCTTTACAATATGTACCTGTGACTTGTTGGCGATAACTTTC